GAGTTGTATCGTCATGTGTTATTTTTCTTCACAAAACAATAACAACATTTTTACAACTGTCATGAAATATCATGACTTCACGACAAACACAACAAATACGACACCTTGTGAATTGCCCAATTGTTTAAATCGTCTGGCAGCACCAACTTCGATGGCCACCCTGAAATTGTGCATATGAGGTTCATTCCTTATCTTTTTGGACTAAAATCTGAAAAGTGTCAAAATGCCAGAGCGTAAGCAAAATGCGCTCACTAAAAGAGAGTAACAGGAAAAGTAAAGGAACGCAAAAAACCAAATTTTTAGTCCAAAGAATGGCAACAACAAAACTAACGTCAAATAAGCACAGAAATGTATGTACAAAACACATTCACACATGCACAAGCAAAATAAATACTTGCTATATCAATTATTTTTTGCCTTCTTCCAATTTCAATTCATTTCTTTTACTTTTTAGATTATTCTCACTTTTCGCGTATTCTTTAATTTCCGTTAATTTAAATTCAGTTGAGTTTGACACTTCTCAGGATTTTGCCAGAAAAAATTCTTCTGACTAAATCTGACTACTTCGGACTGATGAGAGTCGCTCTCACTGACTGTTGCTCTCTCATTTTTGCTGTCATTTCCGAGTTAAGGAACGCTTTTTGGACTAAATCTGACTACTTCGGACTTTTTCTGACTATTTCTGGGAGATAAGGAACGCGCATATGGAAACTGTGCATACGAAATAATGCATATGAAAAAAACCGAAATAATGCATCGCAAAAACCGAAATAATGCATATATGCACAGTTTCGGTTGAAAACCGAAATAATGCATATGAAAAAACCCGAAATAATGCATACATGCACACTTTCGTTTGAAACCGAAATAACGCATATGAGAAAAACGAAGTAATGCATACATGCACAGTTTCGACTCAAAACCGAAATAATGCATATGACAAAAACCGAAATAGTGCATACATGAAAACGAACTTCTTTCTGCGTAGGGGGCCTTCGCCCGCGCTTAGGAATTATAACCCTTATACCTTGGTTATAATGCACGGGGCGAATCGTAACAAATCGCGGCGAATTCGTAAGGATCTATTGATTTTAGATGCTTCCGTTTTACGTTACGTTCAAGTGCATTATAATCGTTCGAATTCATTGCCCATACAATAGATTATTAAGTGACAGTTCACTCCGTTCCGTTACTTCCATTAAAACCCAGGCATTAAGCTTGATATACAGTTCAATGCGATCGTGAGCGTGAACGTTCGCAAAGGAAATAATTCCATTGGTATTCTTATAGACGCTCACACACATCTGTCAAAACTTGCCGTTCACATGCGAATGCTTTGCGTACGCACACAGTTGAGTGTGATCTCGAAAAAAGGCGTATTATGCATTTTAAATTAGTTTTTATTCTATAATTCTGAAAGATATTTTAATTCTCTATCTTTTCATGTCTCAACTATAGCAAAAAGTTGAGTAATAACGAAGATATTTGTCAAAGTAACAAGCTCACGCTCACGCTCGCATTGAACTGAATATCAGGCTTAACTAAGTAGAATTCTAGTGTGTTGCCGGAAAAGGGGACCGGAAGTATTTCTTTTTGCGTAGGCGGCCTTCGGTCGCGCTTAGGGATTATAACCCTTAAAGCGCAGTTAGTCAAGGGCGTAGCGTAAACGTAGGTTGGCGAACGTAGCAGCATATCAAATTTACTGTTGATAGAGAGAGAGAGAAGCAACGACAACGTCACCGCCATGTGGTTGTGAGTTTTCGTAAACATGCGAATCCCATAAAGGCCCGTCCACATACAACTTTGGCGTTGCGTCGGCGCTGGCGTCGCTTTGACAGCAGCGCGAGTAACGCCCGTGCTTGCTACAATGAACGCTTAGCAGAGAATACTTTGGTCACTAAATTAACATACTAGCGGCAGAAAAACCAAAATTTTACATCAATAATTGCATTAAAAAATATATTTCTTGCCGCATTTGATTAAAAATGAAAATTGAATCACATAATTTTGATTATTTGGAACAGCTGACGAATGACGCGCGCGAAAAGTTGAGAGTTGGTCATCTTTCTGCGTTGTGTTGGCGTTGGCGTTGCCCAACTTTGGTTATGTGGAGACTTTCATATAAATGCATGTATTCATAGTCAGCTGTCGAAGCGACGCCAACGCCAACGCAACGCCAAAGTTGTATGTAAACGGGCCTTAAGGTAGATCGTGTCTGCGTCAACCTACGTCTACGCTACGTCGTTGACAGTTTGCGCTTTTACTAAGTAGAACTCCATGAATCAAAAATACTAGATCACGTAAGAACGCGACGTTGTATTTGTAACTGGTTTTGAGAAAAAAGTTTGCGAAAGCGGGTTCGTCAGCTGAGCGTTTGTTTACATCACAAGCACCACTATTTTACACTTTTATTCAAGTAAAGAAGAGTTAATTCAACATGACAGCACATTTTAAAGCATTTTGTTGCATCATTTTACCTAAATTGTGCGTTTAAAGTGGCTGACAATAATTTTGGCTAATTTTGGTTTTCGTTGGTTTCTTTGCTTTGTTTACTTTTCGCTCGTTTTCCAGTGAAACAAGATGGCGTAGAACCCGCTAAAAAAATCGACTTTTTTCATTCTCTTGTTCTTACGTGATCTTGTGTCTTTCGTTCATGGTAGAACTCTCCTTTCTGTGTTGCCGGAAAAGGGGACCGGAAATATTTTTGCGCAGAACTTCTTTCTGCGTAGGCGGCCTTCGGCCGCGCTTAGGGTTTAAAACCCTTACTAAGTAGAAGTAAATAATTCATATTAGAAAAAAAACTAAATTATCCATATGCACTAGGGCTGTGCGATTATTCGATTACTCGAGCAAGTTGGTTAATCAATTATTCGGTTAATCAATTACTCGAGTAATCAAGATTTTGATTACTCAAAACGATGATTAATCGAATTACTTGAAATATGATTACTCAAAAAAAATAATTTTGCTCGTTAAAAGAGTCTGCTTTGGAAAATGCTTATTTTCTTTTTTACATTCTGTATATGAAAAAAACTTTTCGTTTTAATTTTGAAAGTATCAAGGAACTTCAACTACTTTATACATATGTAAAGCCTTGAAATGTTGATTACTCATTTTACTCGAAATGTTGATTAATCATAAAGCAACTTACTCAAATATTTTTTTTTTTGTTAATCAAAAATCTTGATTACTCGAGTAACTGAACTTTTGAGTAATCATAATTTCCAATTAATCGAATAATTGAGTTATTTACTTTATGCTTAATTAAAATTTTTAGTCATCAATTAATCGCACAGCCCTAATATGCACACTTTCGTTAGAAAACCGAAGTGATTCATGCATGCACAGTTTCGGTTAAAAACCGAAGTAATGCATATGAATACCCCGAAGTAATGCATACATGCAAAGTTTTAAAAACCGAAATAATGCATATGAAAATCCCGAAGTAATGCATACATGCACAGTTTTGGTTGAAAACCGAAATAATGCCTGGGTAAAAGATTGTCGTAAGCGCAATTTTGACGATTTTTAGTTATAGATGCAGTTATATATTTTGAAATAAGGTCTTTCGATTGGTGTTATCAGTTTTCTGATATCTCCTTTAGTTTCCGAGATATTGACTAAAATTTTTTCTATAATTTAGTAAAAATTTAGTTAGTGATGCAGTCATATTAAGCTAATCAATATCTTAAAAACGACGTTCTCCATTTTTGGATATCTCCTTTAGTTTCCGAGACATTGAGTAAAAAGTGTCGTTAATTTAGTAGAAATTTTGATCACATTTTGTCGTATTTCATACAAAGTGGCTGCCAAATTGTGGACAAATGACGCCTACGACAAAATTTTACTAAAGAAAATCTTTCATAAACTCAAAGCTAGTTAACATTAAACATTAAAAATTAAACAATTGAAGAATTTTGTGAACTAGTAACATTTTCAGAGGCTTTGGAGAATATCTATCTTCGCGTTTTTGAGAAATTGCATTCCAAACTTCAATCGCGATTTCCCACAACCTGCCGAAATCAACATACGACAATCTTTTACCCAGGCGACGATATGAGAAAATACCGAAATTTTGCATATGCATACTTTCGTTTTAAAAGCGAAATAATGCATATGAAAAGAACGAAGTAAAGAGAAGTGTACACAATTTTGACAGTTAAAGCTCATTCTCACACATGCTGAATCGCAAAATGAGGGTGTTTAACAATTTTGACGGCTAAAACTCATTCTCACTTTTCCTGAATCGCAAAATAAAGAGTGCAAACAATTTTCAGTGTACACTTGAAAACTCACAGTTACAGAATAGAGCCCCTGAGCAATTTAAAAAAATTGACTTGGCACCTTTTCACCTTAAGGTGAAAGGTAAAAATAATCGCCACTGTTAGGTGGTTTTCTTTTTTGAGTCGCTCTTCTAGTGGCATTTAAAATATTTTAACAGCCTTGTCATTGTTGAAACTATTATAGATTCGCAACTGCATTTCAAAGAAAAATATCTGATTTATAAACCTGCCTTTACATCCATCAATAACACAGGTTTACAAAAAAAACAAGTGTATGCATATTAAACCAAACCTATATATCCCTATGTTATTCGAGATGCTGAATGCGAATCCGAGGTCCATTAGCCTCCATCACGTCAGGTTCGTGGTCATTTGAAGGTCAAGTAGGGAAAAATTCATTGAATAAACCTGATAGAGAGAGGACCTTATTTACTCTCTTTTTTGTCCTCTCAATAGTCAGAGAACCGAGTACTGGATCAATTTCTGACTAGTCCGGACTCGTACGGGATCGCAACTATTATTATTATTATTATTAACTATCCGTCAAAAAGTTGTTTATTGAAACTACCTTATTTTTTTATCATGCTGGTTTATTGAGTAGAGGTTTTCGGGAGATTTTAGATATAAAGCTGTCAGACTGCATGGCAAATTGAAAAAGAAAGTGCCAAATTGCTTACAAAAGGTCCTAGGTCAATCAGTACCAAATTTACAAACAAGAATATTTTGCTATCAAATGGCACAGGCCTATAGTATCATTTTATTGAAAACATGTGTATATGTATTTTAATTCAAACTTCGTTTAATATACCTAAATATGGATGAAAAAGTAATTAAATACACAAATAAGATAACTTATCACACTTTGAAAAGTGCTTTTTATTTCAACTGTGTTCAATTCTACTAAAAATGATTTTCATAACACACTCCATTAGGATAAATTTATCAGAACTATAAATTCTGCACTTTTAGTTGGAGCATCACACCAAACGATTCAGGGGTTGTGGCTTTCGGCGTTGACAATAATTTATAAAACTGACAGCTGAACACAGCACAGAACTTCTGAAAAGCTTGATGTGAAGTTTTAACTTTAAGCTGACGTAGTAAATTTTCATTCCCCGTAAATTTATTGAACACATAAACAATGTTAGATAAAATAATTTTCGCTTGAAAACGTGCTCACATATGTACTACTCACACCATTATATCTGCGTACAACCTGGGATTTTGATTTTAATATTCACAACATATAACAATTACAATTACAAATTTGAAGTGGCTAAGAAATCGCATTGATTTTTAATGATTTTTTTTTTGCTGACGGCGAACGCGATTTTTTAGCCACTTCAAATTTGTACATTTTTGCATTAAAATTGAACAGGCTATGAAACTGCGTACCAGAAGTTTTTTTAGAAAATCTGAGTAAAATGCTTCAAATTTTGATGAAATCTCGTTAAATTTTCCTTAATTTTGTAAACAGTTCGAAACTTTGATTTACATGGTTCTGTTTATGGCACGAACCATATTTTTGTACAAAACTAGCAAAAAAATTATTGCTTGCAAAACATTGTGATTATTAAAAAAAAAAAAACAAGGATATACACAGATATAATGGAGTGAGCGTATGTACATACATGTTTGAACTATAGCCCAAAGTTTTCGTTCTTCTCTTGCCGCTAACTGATCTCTGGCCTTCTACAGTTCTGTGTGATGTGAAGGGAATTTTTTCAATACTGCATGATATAAATTATAAAAGGCGTATACAGAAACTGAAATGATGACCATAAGAGCACCTCCAAAAGCTAGACTCAAGAAATTGCCATCGATAACGCCAGTTGTGGTATAACGTTTAG